GCAACATTTTGTACTAAATAAATCGAAAAGACGGAAATAAATTGTAAAATATTCTATCTAGATTGGTAAATCCGATGTCACTATTGACTGACCACAGATCTTGCTTTTGCACGAATTCTTTCTATCAGAAATAGCTTTTTACCTGTGTGAAAATCAATACCTATTCAAATTATTTTGTCGCGTGAATGATTTTCGATCGGTTTATTCTCCAGTAAATGCGTCATTTACGAAAAGAAAACAGACAAAATAAATTGAATGCTGGGCTGCGCAGTTAAGCTTGTGTATGATCTTTGCAAAGTTTACGAGACAAGATGTGTTCAGCTTTCAATTTTATTCAGCTTTCTAATGTCAACATGTTATCGTCTCCTTTCGGTTAGTTTTCACCTCCTGATCGATCACTTTCACGCGTTATTCGGTAAATGAAATTGAGATGAATGAAATGTAATTAACTGGAAAACGCATCTGCTTCTCACCTGAGTTTGCGCGGACATTTGAATTCGTTCTTTCACTTCCTCGTCAACAATTATGAACACATTTTCCGGCAAGGGGAATTGTTCAATTACGAAACGCTATGAAGTAAACGAAAATTTGTTGAAATAGTTGTTTGACAGATTTGAAGTTTGTCTGGCGATTGTGAAAAGTTCAGTAGCCTCGGTGGGATTCGAGCCCACGCCTGGACGCCGCCTACACTTTGTACTTGCACGTCTACCAACTGAGCTACGAGATCACACCGATAGCACTGATCTTTTCACATTCAAATTATCTGAACAATTACACTTAACTTAGAAGCTCATTCGGTGGACTCCGGTGAATTCGGAGGAAAACCTGTCGGGGCAGTCAGCTTACATGCTAACTGGTGGGTGCCATATGCCTCTGTAAGTTGGATCGATAATTCGAACGTAAAAAGGTCAGTGTTATCGGTTTGGCCTCGCAGCTCAGCTGGTAGAACGTGCGCGTACAAAATGTAGGCGGCGCCCATGCATGGGTTCGAATCCCACCGAGGCTAGTGAACTTTTCACAATCGCCATACAAATAAATTACGTGACAGGGGTTGGGCCTCGAATACGCGTCTTCTGGCAACACCAATCGATTTGGCAGTCGATGGTCGATTTGCTTTCCGTTCGTGTTCGAGTATTAAAAACTGGGTATCAGCGGTTTCGACCTGGTTGGGTCGCATCAGCAGTGCTCAAATCCATTGACCCAATTGGGGATCGAACAAGGAGCCTCATAGGTCTAGGTCCAAGCAGTTGTAGAGTGCTTCCTAGATTTTCGGTTTCCGTTTCATTCACACAACGAATTCATCATATATACAAATGGAATTCTCCATTAGTCTCGTACACTTAAGAACAGCGTAGGCAGCTCAAATATATGCCGAAAGTTACTGTTTCAGATCACATTAAGCAGCATTAACCAGACTGAACTCATTTACGCAGATTTTCGAATTTTCATTTTCATTTACGTAGCTTTATGGGATATCGCAGTAGATTATTCTTCAAAGTTACCTAGATCCGAAAGCATGTTTTCTCTGAAACCCTCATCAAAATGGATTCTGATAGTTTGGGGATGTATGAACAATTGTTTTAAGTAGTGCGAATTCTCATCGATCCGGATTTATGCATTGGGAGAGAGAGAGACTATAGTGATTCCAACCTGCGAGATGACATACCACGGAGCGATACGTTACAGTTTTCGGACAGCTGTGATCAGTAAAGCTTCCCAGGTGACATCAGCAAAGCACGTGCGTGTCACAGCTTCTGGACTACATGTCATAGGTCGATTGTACCAGCCAATGAGAGCCAGGTGGGCCCAGAGAGAAGTTAAACAACGGCAGAAATACTAGAACGCGATTGGTAGACGCTCGGATGACCAATGAGCATGTTTGGTACATATTATTTAATCCCCTGATTTCTTTTAATGAATGAACTACTACTCCTGTGACCTTTTCCTCGCGTCTCGGTAACGTGGAATATTGCGTGCCAGTGTCAGTGTGATCCAGTGCTTACGTGACATCCGTGATTGCTAATCCGTGATTCGTATTCCGCGTTGCTACTGGGTGGTTCGTATTCTGAGTTCAGTGCAACTGCAACTACTACACAAATAAAACGTATTCAATGGATTGTTGATTAGCAAGTGTATAAGATAGTGAAACCAGATGCGTACTTCTCGCATGATTGGGTAGTCCGAATTTACGAGTTTTCATCAGAAATATTTGTATGCGACAATTATGCATTCCAAATAGACTTATACTTGTGACCTGCGTAGAAAAACTCCGTGGGTATTGGCCAGCTGCGATTGGTCAAACATGGTTGGTTAATCTGTTAAGTAGAAAGCTCCAGAATTGTTGAATAAAAAAGGGATAGTTGAACCATTTGTGATGCAACAAGCCAATCAGTCAGTCAGTCTTCACAAGGAATGCTTTTTGACAATTTGTATTTGAAAATCTTTTGACAGAATTCCTTATAACTGCTTTCTCCGTCAGTGGTTCCACGTTTACATTGCATATATTTTCTCCGTGAACTTTGTTCAAATCGGATTCGGTATGTAATAGAAGAATGTAGTTTTATGTTTGAATTACGAGAAGGTCAGTATCTGTGGTTGGATTAGAACCCACATGTGGAGACCGTTTGCGTGTTTGTACAGCGCACACTCTACCTCGGGCGACGCGATCACTTAGCTCAACTGGGAGCCTCCGCTAGACCAACCCGTAGGTGAATTCCATGCCTTAGTTCGAATCCCACCGAGGCTACTGATCATTTTATGATGTAAACATATGAGTACATAAAACGAACGAAACGATTTTAAATTCCTGTAAGTTGGAGGGAAGACTGAAAGGGGGAGAGTGTTGTGCTATTTTTGGGAAAAAAGATGATTGAGTTTTAGAAATGCGACATCTGGGGGATAGTCACTTGAAATGGGTGGCTAACCACTTGTGTGCGGGACCTAGGAGGAAGAACAAGTGGGATACGGACAGGGACGGAAAGTTTATCAGGGCAAAATCCAAAGTAATGTCGATAGAATAAGGATAATGGGGCCAGTGCCCAACGGTGAGCTAGGGACTGCAGCAAGTCACATGTTAGGGACGGGTTGTTGGTGAAACAAATGACCTTATATTGAACTCGATCAGGAAGAAAAAGAGAGATGGAAGAAGCTCCACCCCCACACATGACTACAGTATTCAAGTGCACGGCGAATCTAAGCCTTGTAAAGCGGGAAGATGTGAATGGCAATGGGGAAACGGCCGGCGCGGAAATGGAAGCCCCTTTTTTTGCGCGCAGCGCGGGCGGGAGACAAGTTGATAAATAAACGGTGACCATAAGAGAGAAGAAGATTAGGAAAGTCTCAATGGGTTGCATGAATCTGCGAAACGGATAATGTTCAGGTTGAATGTTACTGAAGTGGAGAAAGATGCTTCTTTAAAAGATTATGACAAAAGTGAAGTTTTACTGTCACTAAGGAGAACAAAGTTCCAACAGCCTCAAACAGAAATAAGGCCCAGATCAGAAAATGAAACAGAGGTGGTCATCACTTATGCTTAATTTAGAGATACGTGAAAGGGGAACAGAATAAAGACAAAGGCGTGAATAGGATTTGAAGTTGAACAATTGAAGATCATCAATGAACATCAGGAAAAGGGTAGGAAAAAGTACAGAACCTTGGGGGAACACCAGTATTCACAAGCACGGAACAAGACAAGTTGCTCAGTCTTTAGCTTTACTTATCTGTTTCAGTGTAGTTTTCCCATCTAATAAGTACTCTCTACCTCGGATGTGCCTTAGTGTGTCTGTGGCAGGGGGTAAAACGTAAGCGAAAGTTCAATCCATTTTCTCATTGTTCAACCGTCCCTTGAACTGTGGTTCCAAGTTGTGATTGATTTTGTCCGTACGCAACACGCACACACACACACACACGTACCTTATCCGTCGTTTCAGTGAGTGGAGCGGTGGATGAGTTGTCATTCACGTGGACTGGCGACCGTGGCTGCCCAGATTTACTATAGCTATTTCGATGATTTGATCCGACGTGTACCGGGAGGGTGAGGGAGATAGAAGGAACAGAGTGTGTAGCTCAGACACGGCAGGGAACGGGTACGGGGTAAGGAATATTTCATGCATGTCCGGAATTGAGAGACAACTTGCATAACCAATGAGCGAAAGGTTTCCCCTTTGTTCTGCTCTATTTCTCGTCAACGAAACACCTGACATATCTGTACCGATTTGTCGAATCTGGGGTAAACTGACGCATTAAAATCTAGTGGACGTGTATGTATGAGGTTAGATTGATGTCGCATCTACATCAGTTGGCGTCTCGGTCAACAAGTATTTGAAAAAAACAAATGTTTGAGTAGGAGGGAGTTACAGATGTTCCAGATGAGTTTCCAAGTTGTTTGGGTGCGACAATTGAATGATTTACTGCACAAGTCTGAAGGGTAATATGATTCCTCTGTCTGACCGTTGACAGACCGATTTTTATCAGATGAATTGGTTGACGAGAAAAAAGTGATCCCATCCATTAGGACTGTAATAGGGAATTCACAATCGTGGATCGCGTTTGAACTGCAATTCCGGTTCTCTGCAAACGATCTAATCGATTTTGTTGGTTAGGTGATCGATGCATTTGGCAATGTGAATTGCCATTGAAGGGCAGTAGAAAAATTTGACCATTCAAAACAAGTCTCAGACAAATTATCTTGTCAAGGTCGAATGAACTGGATTACTTCAAATTTGAACAGAACCGTACGAGAACCGAACGGTGGCTTTCATTTAACATTGTATATTGAATAAAAAAGGAGTAAAAATGAAAAGAAAACTGTTTATGATTCAACATTCGTGTTTTTATCATCTTTCCAGTGGTCTAATGTGATAAACAGTCGATGTGCATATTTCATTCCTCTTATAAGTTCGATTTCCATGTTTCACAGCATTGCACTTCATGAGTATCTTCAAACCTCATTTTTAAGGCGACATAAATATTCACTGATAGAAATAAACTATGCACGTCTAAAAAAAAATAGTTATGCTTCATTCAATGTGTGTTCCAGTTTTTAAGCATTGAGAAAATCACCATCTTTGGGATTTAGGTAACCCTGAGGGTTTTCACTTCCACGAGAAAGAAAGGTATTGATTTATTTTGTCCCAAATGAGTTTGTATCTTCATTTGTTTGACATGCAGTTTGACCTCGACACAAGTTCAGTCGTTTTCCGGAGTGACTGAGATCTCACTTTGAATCAATTCCAATGTGTGCTGAATGACCGTTGGACCAGAGGCAAACACCACTGTTTGCCCAACCGAGAGTTTCGACCAAACTCCTGGATTAGTAAACCAGTCCGGAAGAAGTATCCTAAACGGAGGGCGGAAAGACAGAATCAAATTCTACTTTTGTTGTAACATTACAATACGACTGAACCAGCACGAGCCATGACCAAAGATACGTGCCGCAGCAGAGATTCAGGAACCGTGCGAACCGTACGACCCAGCAGAGTGGTGACGATACACTGGTACGCTCGACCACGGTACCNGCGAGTCCCAACCGAACTTTAACCAGAAAACGCCTCACGAACCAGTACGATCCGCCGAAACCCGACCAGAGAGAACACGGAAGACAGGCCCTTCAGGTGAGGTTGCATATTTTACTCGACCGTGAAAGGCGAAGAAAGCGGACACCTCAGCTGTTCAGATACACTTCAGGGACCGGTCACCAATGAACTTGGAAAATAGCTCAAAAGTAGTGAGTCACGGGTAAATGGCCCAGTGGGGATCAAACATGGTCAGTGGTGCGGTATGAGTCCTTTTTGACGGGAAAATCAGGAAATTAAAATTTTATAAAAATAAATAGGAAATTAGAGGGAAATAGTCACTTTTATAGGGAGAAATGGTCTTTTTCCTATCAACTTTGTAGGCTACATTGCAGTGGGAGTGATCTACTGCCTGCTCAAAATGCGGAGGTGCACTTGTGATGTTCATTGTCTTATTCTGTGCAGTTTTAACGAGCAGCGTATTGATTGAGTAATCAGTAGTTATCGCTCGCATATCGAACTGTTCGCTAGAAACGTGTGTTAAACCATATGTGCACTCTCACTGATCCAGCATTTCTGCGAGATAGACTGCTTTCTCTAGATCTGGTGATTTGTGCCCGGAATTCCAACATCATCTCGATCGAACAACCAGTCAGTTGCATCGACTGAAATAGCGCAACCCAGCAGATCACAGGGCAGATTCAATTTCTGGTGGTCATTCTTTGCTGCCTTGCGTCAAGCAGCGGCATATATGTGTCGGTCCCCGGGAGGTCCTTACGATATAGTTACAGTTTGGGAAGCAACTTATCTTGGGATTGATTGGTTGGTGCAAAACTTCTTGCTTGTCCTAAATTAACGGACAATATTGTGGTTCAATTGTAAATTATATTATTGTTAGGACGGAGAGCATAGAACCCGTCAGACTGAACACGGATCCGCGTCACATCACATGTGCGCTCGCGACGTCCAATGCGAATCGATTCCGGATTGAATGACCAGGGCGAATCAGAAAGCTGCCGTCCGATCGACCAAAAGGAGTGTCAAAGACGCGATCTGATTGGTGCATCATCACATCGTTCTCGTTCGCCTAATTTACCCCCTTATATCTGCGTATCGTGTCATAATCAATACACTCTGACTTGTTCTACAGTGGTATTCTCTCGTCGTATTATTGTTGGGGGCTAGGCAAGAGGCGCTCGTATTGATTGTACGTCTAACCAAGTACATAACAATTCGCTTCCAATAGATGGGGGAAAATCAGGGCCTAACTTCGTTATTAAGGGACAGGTATGGAAAATGACGAAATCAAGACATGGGAAATCAGTGCATTGCACTTAAAAGAAAAAATTGCAAGTTTTTGAGAATGATCTTACAGACACAGAGGCCGCTTCATGCCTACTTTCAGGCTCCAAACCAGAACAGCTTCGCGGTTACATCTCCCATCAGGGATGGGTTGTAGTGGGAACTGATGAGGTTTAAGGTACAATTNCATCGCATTACGCTTCTGTCTATGTGCTGGCCACACCCTTGAGTGTGGTTTCATTACCACAGAAGGAATCGTAACAGAATTTTGCAGGTGTAGGTTCACCAGTGACCTGAATCTATTGGATCACACCCGTTGTTTCCGAAAAAAAGGTTGGTGAATGAAACTGCGTCTGTTCAATTTACGAACGGCACAAGGACTTTTATCACAGCAACGGAAGGATGTTGTTATTGTGTCTCAATCTAAAAGTGTAGTTAAGAATGATTCTAGCCACTACCACACAATCTGTCTAACCCGGGTGATGCGCGAGGTGAGGTGGGCAGGGGGAGAGGGGTGAGGACTGCCCGACTCCGACAGGATTTACTTTGTAACGGACATCGATTTCCCTGACAGCATAGTTTTTGCCTCAGTCAATTGTTTACGTCGAATTTGCTTTGGACCAGCGAAAGTTGGGCAAAAGTCTATGCTTGGTCTTAGGCAAAGTATTCAAAAATGTGTCTACAACTGCCCTTTGCAGAAAACGGTGAAACCCGGAGTAGAGGACCATCTACTGTGATGGCTACCGGGATTTCTAATCGACAAAAACCGGTGTTCGCGTTATTCAACTCTTGTACTGTTAATCCCTAATGAATAGAAAAGACATCTAAGGTTCCTGTAGGAAATTCCGAATGTGCTGGCCTTGTGGACAGCCACATAAACCTATTATTATAACTCTACTAGGTATGCTTTCCTACAATTAGAGCGTCATGATTCAGTAGTACCCTACAGATTCCAAGCAACCTCTTTGCTCATGATATCTTGATGGCGAGACCTAATAGTTCCACTAACGTCCTCTTTAGAGCGCCCTGATAAGACCGACACCGTCTGGGTTTCAGCGTAGAGCATTTGGAGACCTATTAAGAGATCTCTTGGTTGATTATGACTGAACACCTTCATACCTCCCAATTCAGATCTAGGTTTAATCATGGTGGTTTACTAAATAACGTCTTCACAGCCGTGGAGGTAGCTGGATTCAAGCGGCTTTTGTAATTGTGTATGTTAGGTGAAGACTAAGAAGCATAATCACTACGGGGGGGATCGTGGTCGATCGAATGCTTTCCTAGGCTATACAACACGCGCGCGTAGTATTCAAATCTTCATTTCGTGGGCTATACAGTTGATTGTTGCAACGAAGTACATTGGATTGCATGTATTACTATAAGCCATCATGGATTTGGTCACATCTCATCTGGACATCCCCGTCTCCTATAGTCTGAAGTGTATAATTACGATTCAACCTTTAAAAAAAAAGAATTCGTTGTGTATGGACCTAATGAAGCCGGAACTGAAAAGCTAGAAAGCATTGTACAGCTGTACAGCCTATTGGATAACGCCAGCCAAACACCTAAGCATTACAGTTTCTGGACAACGAACCACAGGCCAATCGTGTCGACCAATCAGAAGTCGTGCGGTCCAGACAGAATCTGTATGAAGTCAAGGATACAAGCAGGCGATTGGTGGATGTCTGTATAACCAATAAACTTCCTTTGTACATGTTATCTGATCCCTTTGATTTCTTTCAATAAATGAATTGCTAATTCTGTGTGGCCTTTTCACTTGAATGCATACAAACAGTGGGCAATTAACTATCTCCCAAGGAATGAAACCCACACCGAAGACCATCAAGAGTGCCTGGTGCCTCTGAACAATCGATTGGGCTAATCCAAGCTTGATACTCTGTGTGTGTTCATATTAGCCAGCGAAGAATACTTCAAGAAAATGAAACGCTTCTTTTTGTGTGTAATAAATAAAACGTTTTGTACATCCGGAATTTTTTTCCCGGTGAATCTGGATTGTGAAACGCCTATTTCGTTGACCGAAAGTTTAATTGGTGGAGGTTTCCCAACCCCAGAGTCAGGTGACCGTGCCCGGGGGGATACAAGTGCAAATCGGCCGGTCGGATGTCATTCAAAATGATTTG